TTACGAATATATATATATATATATATATATATATATATATATATATATATAATATATAACTGATGTTACGGGTATCTTAAAAACGAAGCATAGTTTCATCCCACTACCTGCTATGTTGATTTTGGGGTCAATTGCTTCATGCTGCTATTTGACAACTATGCCTTAAGCCTTTCTAGGATTCAGAGGCAAATTTTAGTGATTGTATGGTAATGGTATTGTTGATAGTTTGTGCCATTCAATGAATAATCTTTGATGAAAAAATCAACATGTCACTTGATTATGGAATTGTTTTACTGAAGTTGCAAACTATAGTCTTACTTTGAGAGTTTAAATTATAAATAATATTTGCAAAGGATAATGTATCTGTATCTATATGCCTGTGTGTTGTGTTGGTTTCTTTATTGTCATATTACTTGCACTTTCCTTTGTATGGTGTGTGTATTGTCACTATTGTGTTTCATTGTTCAATTTGTTACCTATAATCTGCATTAGATTATATTATCAATCATACGATGTAAATTGTTTGTGGCTATCAACATGGAAGCAATTGTTTTTTGGGAATTTCCTCCAGGCACTGGATTATTGCCATTCACAAGGAATCATGCATCGGGATGTGAAACCACATAATGTAATGATTGATCATGAGCAGCGTAAGCTTCGCCTTATAGATTGGGGACTTGCAGAGTTCTATCATCCTGGAAAAGAGTATAATGTTCGTGTGGCTTCAAGGTAGATCTACTCTTATTCTATTTTCTGGTTGGGGGGATGTTTGTGGGAGGATTCATAGTTGTGGTGGGCTGGTGGGATGTTCGTTGAGCCTTTGGACAAAGCCCAGTTGAACATCAGGCAGAGGGGCGGGTGGGTGGAGGGGGGAAAGGGGTATAGGGTCTATTGTGGGCTTTTAACTTATGCGTTCTTGTTGCATGCTGCTCAACTCAAGTATTCAACCAACTAAACCATCCTAGGAGGGTTACGCATGCTTTTTCAAATGATTTATAAATTCACAAAGTAATTGCTGAAGAAACATTTCCATACACATTGCACTGCTTTGGCTTTTCTTTTGGGTTTTGTGATTACTCCTTCCATCTGCCTTTAGGTTTGGTTACATGAACTAAACCCTTTGATGCAAAATTTAGAGTTAGAACATTAAGAGGGCTTTCTTTTTGTTTAAAATGTCATTTGGTAAGCCAAATTTGTTTGTGGCCAAGAATTTGTGGGCTTTGGAAATTTAATGTCCAAAATCAATGCATAAGTTGGTAAATTATGAACGGCAATATCCCTCCATGAACATCTTTTAGCCATTGGGTGATGATAAATTTGGTGTACTGCAGAACAGGTGGGGGTGTCATTAGCTAGTCCAGATTCTCTGCTAGGTTATTTGGTACTGTTTTCTACTGAGCATTAAAAATACACTGATGTTGGTATATCAAATTTATTTTAATATAGTCTAAAATATCAGAATCAGTGTATTTTAAAGACAACAGAGGAACAACATAGAAAACCCAATAGAGAATCCAAATTTGTCATTAGCTTGTTTATGTTTTTGGTAAAAAAAGGATGTTTATTATGGTTACTTGATAGTTTTTATTTTTAATTGTTATCAATCAACATTTTTTTTCTGCTTTAACCTTTGATTTTCTTGTGCAGATATTTCAAAGGTCCTGAGCTTCTTGTTGATCTTCAAGACTATGATTACTCTCTAGATTTGTGGAGTCTTGGTTGTATGTTCGCTGGGATGGTAAGTGGTGCACTTTTCTTCAAATACAGTGTTATATTATTCAGTGTTTAGCTTCATTGAGAGATAAACCTTAGAATCTTTAGCTACTGCATGATAGATCAATTTCTTTTTTTGAAGTCTTAATACAGGTTGAAATATCCTCCCCTGCTTGATTCAGGCTTGTGTTTTTACATTGTTCAGATATTTCGTAAGGAGCCATTCTTTTATGGACATGATAACTATGATCAACTGGTCAAAATAGCTAAGGTAAGCCTGGGACATCTACCCGAATTTGAGTCAGATTGTTGTGTTTGGGTGATTACCCATTACTGTTTTGCTCCTGCCCTGTTGACTGTTTTCTGTAATCATACATATTATGCTAGGGGCATTTTGTGTTGCAAATTTGCATTCTTCTTGAATCCTATATCTTTTCTCTTTTCCTGTTTATTCATTTCTGTGTACTAGAGTTTGTTATACTTAGTAGTTGGTTGTTTGAAAAAATTACACATTTAAATGATTTCTCATGTAATCAGGTTGACAGCATACAATGTAACCTAGGGATATTAACCCATATTTCATTCAACTTTTTTGTTCTTCAAAATACCATGATTTATTGCAAGTAAATCCTTATTGCTGAGTGTCAACACCACTTGAAACACTTCCAAAGCACCATAATACTGTCCTCAGTGTCAACATGTTGTCAAAGCAGGTTCATTCTCAATTAAACGTGGACTTCTCATCCTTCTTCTGCACCGGGTTGTTCACTCAACTGCGTCCATTATTGTTTCTTGGAAATTTGCCCGGACACTTTAAACTCCAGCCTGTGTGAAAGCCATGTACCCTCTTCCCGTTGACAAATCCAACTAGTGCACTACCTTTGTTAGTTTTGGTCCATTCTTTGTCCATTCCAAGTCTCAGGTTATTTATTTCCTTGATCTGAGCAGTGGGTCTGTTAACCCTAGATCGATGAAGTATAGTAGCGGTGTGACTGACATTTGTTTTTGCAGTTCTATCTGAGCAAGAATCAGAAATATCACTTCTTTTTTTCTCCTTGGTGACATCAATCACCTCTGAAATTTAACGAGTGTTGCCTTAATTGACATTCATCTGTTGAAGTTTGGGTCCTTGACAAAAGTTACCTTTTAGCACTCTGATCATTCTCCAAGAAGGCTGAAGATATTGCCACCTCTCTAAAGGAAGAATGGTAGACAAGTAGCTATCAATTGACATCCCTTCTGACTATCTATTGATTCTATTGGCCATTACCATTTTGGATAAATCCTTATATGAGAAATGAAGCCAAAAAGTATATGCAAATGGCAATCAGTTCCTTTATGACTCATTTCACAGCTTCACAATTCTTCAAATGCAAAGTATATATTTTCTTTATATTTAAACGACTCAGTCAACCAGCCAGCTAATTAAGACAATCTTATTAGTCATAACCTTAAGAAAATAGTGGATAAATTATACCAATATGCATATAGCATTTCTTCTGCATGACTTTTCTAAGGATTTTGAGAATCTTTGAAATCAAGTTGTTGCATACTCAACATTCCCACTGTATGAAGTTGTAGACCACAATGCTCCCACCACTGTAAGCTAAAGGGGCACACTCAAGACGTTCCCTACATGGTTTTCAAGAATAATCTGCACCTCTCCAATTATAGGGTGCTAGACACAAAGTATTTCACTCCGCAAGAAAAAAAGTTCTATATCCTACGAGTACAAAGTATATCTAAATTTTAATGATTTTTCTACCCCTAAATTTGGTAATTACGGATTCTATTAGTGTGTTTGGTAGGGATTAAATAAGGAAGAGATAGGGAGGAGTTGAAATTGAAGAGAGATGGCAAATGAAGAATGTTTGGTAGCGGAGAAATATAGACAAAAAGGGTTGTAGGTCTACACACCCTTTTATTTTGCCTCAAATATAATAACAGGAAACGAACAGTGATAACATTAATAGAAATTACATATGCTGATGGTTGAACATTGAAGAATTTGTTGTTTATTTATTTTATATCTTAAACAATTTTCACTTCATTCCTCAGTTATTTCTATTTACTCTACTTTCCTCTTCCCTGTGTCCATCCATTGTATTTCTCGTTTATTTATTTTCTTCCTTACAAATGCACCCTTCATAAACCAAACATTATTCTTAATTGTTCAATAGCTTTCTCTGACACTTCTTTGCATGCATGACTGGAGTATGTGGTAGGTGTTAGCAAGCATTAAATCACATTGACTATATTGTCTTCAACTTTGTGAAGACTAAATTGCCGAAGGAGAGATGAGATGTCCCTCTTATTTTGCCGAGTGCCAAATCATTAGTATTTAACCATATTACCTTTAAATGTGCATCCCTAAATCTTGTCTCAATTGTGATCTTGTAATGAAACGGGATGTTTACTAGCTTTTTGAAAATCCCGTCTTCCATTTCCTACTTGGTGCGTTAGTTTTCTATCACCGATCTTTTGCAGAAGCGAGCTATTTTACTTGTTTAACTTTTATCAAGGTCTGAGAAAACAGTTTGAAATCTAAAGTAGATTTAGAAACTAAAAAAGTTGTCTATGCTTAGTACATGGCTACAGCACGGTGTAGAAGCAACATAAAATAGATGATAGGGAATTTGATTGATAATCTTTTGCTCTTGCAATAGGTGCTTGGGACAGATGAATTAAGTGCCTATTTGGATAAGTATCGAATAGAGTTGGACCCACATCTTGCGGCACTAATTGGGAGGTTTGTTTGTATGCTTTCATAGTTTAGTTTATGTCGCTTTTGTTATATAAAATTATTGTTTTGACTAAGAAGACACTCGAAATATTGTGACAGGCATAGCCGTAAGCCTTGGGCAAAGTTTATTAATGTAGACAATCATCACTTGGCTGTTCCTGAGGTAGTATGCGTTGTAATTATATATTTAAATGTACTTCTATTATCGTTGTTTCTCATTTTATATTTATACTATTTTTTTGAAAGGCTGTTGACTTTGTTGACAAGTTATTACGTTATGATCACCAAGAACGTCCCACTGCAAAAGAAGCCATGGTAAGCTCAATCTTTTTTAGAATTGGGAAATCCCAGCTAAGTAGACGACTTCCCTGCTATTCGATGGTTCCAAATTATTTATGGTGCTTGTTAAGTTATCCTACCTTTAGTTGGATTCTAATTCTTTACTTGATGCCCTAGATGATTTGTAGTTAGGGCCTGGATTTTTATGTTTGTTTCCCTCTTAAACTTATTTGTTTTGGTAACAAGTGCTGTAATAAAGAGTATTAAATGAAAAACTTAAGAAATTAATATATCAGGAACTTGCCAACAAAATCTTATTTTTGACTAATTGTGTGTTTTGCTCAAATTGTATAGTAAGCTGCCAACGCCCTTCCTACAACCGAAGTATTTGGTATTATGAACTTTTGTAAAATGTTTGGTAAACAAAATATTTATTGGTATGCAGGCCCATCCATACTTCAATCCAGTCAGAAATGCAGAAACTAGTAGAACTCGTACGCACTGAGTTGTTGATGTTTGTTGAGATATGGTGTCCGTTCTTGGAAGGGGGGCCTTCAACAAATTATCTGAACTGTTATTTCTGGCGGAACTTGCTTTTAGGAGCTTCGGTCCTTGTTCTGTTGTAAAACTCAGTTTGATCGGTTCTCTCTACCTAATCGTCTTAATTCTGGATTTCAAATTATTTTTTGGGTGGAAAATTCAGTTCTAAAAATTATTTGATTGTGTGCCAAATGTTGAAATGTCTCGATTCAGTTTCAGAAAAATTAAACGCGTTTTTTTATGCTATATAAACTCAACTATTAAATCAAAATTTACTGTTATGGTTTCATTTCAAGCATTGACTTTGTATAACTTGGTACTATTACACTCCTCGCATCTAGCATATTGAAAACTACAGTTGTATGGGAACCTCTTCCTGCGCTTCCATAAGGTGAAAAGATATTTCTGCCTTTATTTTCTTATATTACCTCTTTTTTCATTTGTTTATCTTCTTCCTCCATTAGTACCCACAATACCAACTTCTTCCCCCACTTCCACCAAAAGCTTCTTTCTCCACCTCTACCAGTGTTCTTTCTTCACTTCCACAAACATACCCTTTTCTTTGCCTTCACCGTTATTTATTTTTTCTCCACTTCTTCCTAAGCTCCTTCCTCCACCTCTTTTGGTGTCTCCCACTTATCACCTTCTGTCTCCTCTGGTCTCTTTCACTTTTCACTCTTCTTCAGAAAGACATTTTAGATTGTGCAATCTAATATGTAAAAATAAAATACATTTTGGATTACACAATATGAACTTTGTATTTTTGGGTTATGCATTCTCTGAATTGTGTATTTGTGACTTAAAATGAAAATAAGGTAAAATTGGTTATTTTTTTTAAATATATGATGTGCAGGAAGAAGCTGCTTTTATCGGGTTTTTCGACCTCTGTTGGGCTTGTCCAAGTATTTTAGAAAAATAGATTGGGTTATGTACAAAAAATGGGGGTTTAAATAGAGGGTGTTGTTCCCTCCACCACCATATCTTTCTCCCTCCACCTCTCCAATTTTTTTTAATTTCAATTATATCTCCAAATTAAAATTTTGTACTTTTACTATTTTAATTTATTTCAAACCAAGTTCTCCTACTTTACTCCCTGCACCCAATATTTCCATCTCTCATTTCCGTTTAACAATTTGTCTTCGGTTTTACTCTGCAACCCCATTTGTCTTCTTCGTTTCACTTCTCATCCTCCTTTTTTTTCTTCTTCATTTTCCTTACATTATTAAAATACATTAAAAATATTTCAAAAATAATAAATCAAAACATTTAAATTAAGTTATTAAAATATTTTCAAAATAAAGAATAAACTAATAAAACAAACCCTAAAATAAAAAACGTAACTTTTAAACGGATGTCACCTCCGTTTAAAGATTACGTTTTTTATTTTAGGGTTTTATTTAAAGGTTTATTCGAATACGCACCTCGATGAAGCAACAAACGCATTGCACCACTCCACACACTGCACCACGAGAGCGACACTGCACCACGAGAGGGAGACTGCTTGATAATTCTTTCCACCACCACCAACCTTTGCAACTTGTAGTATCTCACAGCAACGAAAGAAAGAGAGGAAGAAATATAATGTTAAAATGAAAGAAAAATATTTTACTCATACGGGGGACTAGAATAGGTTATTAGTGGAATAGGTTGTGAATGGGTAAAATTAAAAAATAATAACCCTAAAAATAAAATTTTACTTAGAGACAAAATAGTAAATGGGAGGTGAAGGGAGAAAGGTGTGGTGGTGGAGGAAACAACAACCTTAAATAGATTGGGTTATTTATAAGTTGGTTATGCCGAAAATAGTGGGGGATTTAAAAAGATTAACAAGAGCTATCATTTTTACTTTCAAGACTGAAACCTTGTTCGTTGTTTTATACATGGACTAATGTAACTTCCAATGCTTTCTTTAAAAAAATTATAGAGCATTTTCAAATCTTATAAAATCATTCCAAATTGTTTAAATCTTATATTATGGAGAGTATTCCTAAATTTACAAAAAAAAAAAAACGAATCAAGAAAAAATTGTGGATTAGTAAATCCATGTAAGCCATCTGATCCATTAGCTCAATACTTGAATATCAGAGTGAAGAGTGACAACAAGCATGGATTTGAAATTATGTAATTGGATTATTGTGAAACCAAAAAATGTCATTGTGTACAGATATCGTTTTCTGCACAAACGGTAGTGGTTATATGTATATCCCGAATTCTAGATTCGATCCAAATAACTGAATGAATGTTGGAAAAGGGTAGTTTTGATGTAATGTTAATGTTGTTAGGTAGGGATGTTGAAGCTTCTTACGAAACTCAAACACCTTTTCATTCCAATCTCATCTTTTCCGTAAATGCGATACACCAGATACTCCACCTTCTTCATCGTCCTTCCCTTATTTTCTCGAAACAGATTCATCTTTTTCACCGTATTTATTCTGCATTTACATTAATTATGGTATTTTCCTCGTAACATACACTGTTACTTTAATTAAAAGTGTTTACTTTCAAGGTTTTACTATGGTTAATATTGCAGAGGTAAATTGCATTTATTGTCCCAAATCATTTAAAGTATGGTTATCCAGCATGTCCCTTATTTTTAAAGGGTGTTTTTCTCCCTTTGAATTATCCCGTTACAGAATACCACTTGTCTTTAAATCTAATGATTAGATTATACATGTTTTCTACCCACTTTATATCGCTTGAAAAGAGCGTGCGTGCATTCATCACTAAGGATATGGAAGTGAAGTGTCACATAGTAACTGGAGACAAGGCCAAGACATAAATCCCGGAATCTTCGTGTTTATGGCACATTTCGCATATAATCCAATATCATCGAACAACTTTGTGGGCCCCATCTAACTCCCATTATAAATATGCATTACAATCTTTTTTTTTTACTTAGTATTTGATTTCCTCTTTTAATCAAACAAGAAAAATGGTTTGGCTGGTTGATAATAAAAGACGTGTCATTCATACAATAATATTTTCCACCTTTTAATATATTTTTTTTATCACGTTATTTATCACATGTTATACATCTTTTTATTTTTTGCTTGTTTAATTGTAAAAGATAACCTATTGTATACCAATAACAGGGTTTTTAACAAAATCATGATACAAAGTCTCTTCTTTTATCACGTAGAATTAAATATGAAGCAACATGCGCATATGATGATTTACCACTTAACTTTTTCAACTTTCCCCCTCTTTTAAAATAGTGACATTTTGAGTTTAGCTACTAAGTGATGAAAAACTTGGAGAAGAGAAAAGATGCTTAATACTGTGCAATTGTAGTCCCACCCAAATATAAAAAGTTTCATAATACGCGACGAATGAACAAAAGTTATAAGACACATCGAAGTTTAAAAATAGGACACTTGGATGCATGAGTAATACTTTAAGATATGATATAACATATGCGCCAAGTGATGATGATTATGGCTTTGTTTAAGAGTTTGGCCTCACAAAGCAAATGGAATGATGTTAATGTATTATTATTGTGAGTACACTAGAAAGAGATGCGTAGTGGGTATTTCATTCCATGCTCGCATATCACCAAAGTGGGTTAAGAATGGATTCTCTTGTTTATTTGATTTTATAGCCAAACCAATGTGTTTAATCTTTTGTTTTCAATAATCATTGCGTTCTACTTCGACTAATGGCATTATTATGTATACAAATCAATGTTATGAATCATGACGGATGGATAGATGGCAAGCTGGCCTCATGCATGTATGTGGATGGATGATATCATGTGATTATTATACATAGGGTGTGACATGATGACATGGTGTGTAGGTCTTATTACTTTTTGTTTGTCTTTGAGGTACAATCGTGAATTTGTTCTTACCCCTCATGAATCCGACCAATGCTTTCTGTTTCAGTAGTATTGTCTTCTTCTACGTTCGAGGATGAATGTAGCAAAATGGATTCATGGACATTATGGGTGTGTTTGGCAAAAAAGATGGTAAATTCACTCATGAGTTGACTTGACATCCATGTCGCGGTCCTGTCAGAATGGGTTTCAAACGCTTGATTTGATATAACACAAAAACAATTTTTGTTCACTTCTACCACGTCAATAATTTCCAACCTAAGCTATAAATCCCAATATTTTTTCATCATCAATTATCAACAATTTTCTTTGATAAAATTTATAAAATATGTTTAGATTTGAAGATAAATTTGAGAAAAAAAAGGCGTGGAGGGAATCAACAAGTTCATGTTTGTGGGTAACGTAGAAATTATTGGAACCAACGAAAGCTATTTCAGAGAAGACTAATATCACAGAAGTATATCAGAAAAAATAAACTCTCATTAAAGAATGAATGGGGTACATTGTTTATATACACCTGAAGATTATACAATAACAGAAAAACAGAATTTGAATTACACGGCAGCCATTACTCTCCCTTAATTCAAATCCTTGAGTGACACAATCCCAATCTTTTCCCGCATGACTTCAATTTGTCACAGCCAGAGGTTTTTGTAAACAAGGTTTCTGCTAGCTTGTTCTGTACTTTGCAGTACACAATTTCAATCCTTTCTTGTTAACATGTCTCTCAAGAAGTGAAACCTCACCTCTATGTGTTTGCTTCTCCCATGACTTACTGGGGTTTCGTGTCAAGTTGCATGGCTGGGTTTTTGTCCATCTTCAACTTCACTGGTTCCCATTATCATCTGCAGCTCTCTCAACGTTCTTCAAGCCAAATTCCTTGACAGGCAGCATAGCACCCTGAGATGTATTCTGCTTCATCAGCTAGAAGAGCCACAACAGATTGCTTCCTTGATGACATGAGACTGGTGCACCGTCCATAAGAAGATGAACCCTGATGTACTCTTTCTTTCAACTGTAATCACCTACCATAATCAGAGTCGCAGTACCCTGTGAGCTCCAAGGTAATCTTCATGACTTCCATATCGGGAACAATATTCCATAATTTGAGGTGCCTCTTATGTATCTTAAGATGCGTTTCACAGATTCCATATGACTTTCCTCGGCTGCTCACTAAATCTACTTACAAGCCCACCCCAAACACAAATCAGTCTGTTGTTGCACAAGAACCTCAGGGATCCAATAATCTGTTTGAATCTTGTTTCATCTACCTCTTCTTCGGTTTCATCTTTCCCAAGTTTTACATTTGCTTCTAAAGGGGTTCGTGCAGTATTACACTC